GGCCGTCATCTTGGTTAAGCCCCGGCAAGGGGCAGAAACTGGGGGGGGGGGTGCGGAATTGGCCACTGCTACGACCCGGCATGAAATCAAAGCTATGCATTCAAAAAAACATGACATTCCCCCTTGCCGGTGGGGGCTCTGCCCGGTGGGAGGGCTGAGTGCTACGAAAACACTCGGAGGAACAGTTACATAATGAAGGACATGGGCCCAATCCTGCCCTCAGCTTGACACGGCGGCTCTGCAAGGAGCTGAGCTCCAGGCTGCAGCTGCCCAGCACCCTCCAGGATCTGGCCTTGGTCACTGCGCTCCACGCTGCCGCCGAGGGGTGGAGGTGGAAGAAAGGCTGCAAAATGCTTTTTCCCAAGCTGGGAGATGCTCTGCATGCTCAGTGTCGGTAATCCAGAGCCCAGCTCCCATCTGCGGGCTTAAACCAAGCCCCATTGGTGGCAGGAGCTGAGCAAGGTCTGGGACGGGATAGCCCAGGACTGCTGAGGGGCAGGGGCTGCTCGCTGCAGGCATTTGGGCTTTCATGCTACTGCCCTGCAGATCCATCCCGGGTGCCCCAGACCTGGTGGTGGCACATCATGGTACAGATCATCTGTCCCCATGCCCCGAACATGTCCTCAGCTTTGTGGGAAGGATGTGAGCTCTCCCCTGCAGAACTGGCCCCAGCAAAGGGCTGTGCGTATAGAGCTCCTGCCATGCTCTCCTGGTCCGAAATGGGGGGCAGCTGGCCAGCCTGCCTCCTGCAGCTGGTCCTGCTGCCAGCCTATACAGAGGGGTGACACGCTCGGCGTCATGTCCAGATCTGGAAATCCCCGCTGCTCCGGCACGGGCACTCTGCAGACCCCAGGGGACACAAGGAAAATGCTGTGGGATGGGATCCATCGCTCTTCCTGCAGCACCGTGAAGTTGCACACAGTCTGCTCGGATGCCTGAACAAGCTAAACTGTGACATTAATTAAAGCTGACAGCGTTCCTGGAGGGAGCTGGCAGAGAGACAGTGCCGGAGCCGTTGCTGCTGGGGTATGGAGATCACCCACACTGTGTGCGGAGCCAGGCTCTGCAGCAGGCTGGCCTGGGCATGCCATGGCCCTCAAGTCCTGCTATGCTGGCCTTTGTGCTCACTCCAGCTCCAAAAATCAGGGTGGCAGGTACACCCTCAGCCCCGAGGGACAGGAGACGCAGTGCCCAAATCCAACCCTGGCAGCCACCTCCTGCTGAGCATCTGCCCAGAATTGCTCTGCCCTTTCCAGCCAGCCCTGCCTGCAGCCTGGCGCTGCCTTTCCCAGCCCTGCATGCTCCCCTCCGGATTCCCCCTCTTGCTGTGGCTCCTGGCCCCTGGAGCACTCCAGCCCTCAGGGCCACTGTCTCTCACACAGCTCTTTTCCCATCCCAATTTCATGCTGAGTAAAAGCTGCCACTCGCTGCTGTTTCAGCAAGTGCCAGAGAGGATCGCCCATGCCGGCACACAGTGTGGGCAGCCTGGAGCGGTGAGGGGTCCTCTTACTCTGGGCAGGGAATGGTTAAGGGAATTAGGATGAAAAGTTGGTATAAATAATTCGGTAGCTCCTGTAGGAAGATTGCGATTTAGCTTAATTATCATAATTACATTTTCAACCTCTCTGCTAATAATTACAAAACAATAGAGCCAAATGTGCATGCAACCGCCTGCTTTCCTGACCAGCGACTTCTCATTCTGCTGCATGAAGCAGGTCCGTGGGGACGGCGAGGCAGCCGTCAGGGATGGTGGGTAGGGATGTGGTATTTCCCCAGCACCTTGTTCTAGGCATTGGGAAGCCTCATTCCCCTCTGCCTGGCACAGGGATTTTAACTTCAGCTCCAGGATCAGCAATGGGATCGCCTCAGAGCAGCCCGCTGCAGTGCAAAAACATCTTCTCGTCTCCTGACAGTGGAGGAGAATAGTCTGGAAATACTTGTTTCTGAGTGGGGAGGCCTGCACTTTCTCTGCCTGTGCACACTGTGGTTGCTGATCCCCAGGGGCGGCTCCGTCCACGTCTGTGGTGGCCCAGGAGATGAGAGTGGTGTGAGTGGAGAGCTGGCCCCAGGCAGCTACTAGCAGGAGCATTCATTGGCAATAGCTCATTAAAGCTGAGCGTTAGCAATGATGACTTCTGAACGTGGACAGGACCGTATTTGCCCTGCAGCCTGCTTCTGCCTTCGCCCACCTGGGAGGAAATGGAGGCTTCTGGGCAGCAGGGGCAGGTCCTGGGGTCCGTGCCCTGCCCACCACCTTCTCTGGGGGTCCCAGCAGAGCTAGAACCGAAAGCAGCTTGCCAGGGCCCCTGCAGCGACAGGCACCGTGGCCAGGAGGCAAATGAGCAAGGGGAGGATGCAGCTGCAGAGAGCAGGTTATGTGCTGTGTCTCCATCATGCACAGACCACTGAGGAGCAGCCAGGGCCATGGGAAGCCCTTCCCCGTCCCACCATCCACCTTCGTTTGGGATGTAGCCTGACCCGCCTGGAGGGATCACCAGTGCAGGAACAACACACAGGTCCCTGCCCTGCTCTGCCCTGGCTCAGCAGCAGCAACAACATACGTGTCCATGTCCTGCGTCCCCCCAGCATCCCCAATACCTCCGCACATTCAGCTCTGATCAGTGCAGTGCTGGGGCAGGTCTATGAGCTTAGGCTCCTCTGGGACAGTCTGCCACTGTCCCTGCAGGTGACACTGTGTCCTGTCCTGCCTCCCGCCTGCCACACTGCTCCGGCAAGTTACGGGATGAGAACTGAGCCACTTATCTTTAGTGCTGCTCTGATCTAATTTTACTTTCTTAAGAAATGTCTAGGCTTTAGAGAGTGTCTTGTAATGCAAAGGCTCTGCATGGCAAGGAGGGGAGTTCCTGCACCAGTACAGCAGTTATCCCACACACACCAATACAGAAGTTATCCCCCACACCCCAGTACAGCAGTTACTCCACACACCCCAGTACAGCAGTCATCCCCCACGCATGACTTTGCTGCAAAAAACCTCTGGCTCCAGCGCTGGCTGGAGGGAGGTCTCAGCAAATTTCTAGCAGAGCATACAGCATGGTACAGCTGTGCAGGAGACCCTAAGGTCCACCAGGATCTGCTGGAGTTGGTGGCCAGGAGGTACATAGCCATTCCTAGGAAAAGCCACCGGAAGATCTGCCTTCTCCCTTTTTGGACTCCCAGCCCAATCCCACAGAGGCCTTTTGATTACTGCTGCTTTGAAGTGAACTGAACCCGCTGCCTCTGCCTGGCTTTCACTGCTTTTACTGAAGAGAGAGACGCCAAAGAAACCAGACCCTCCAGGCTGCTGCTGGTGAGCGAGGCAGAAGATCGAGGACCGCTGCAGACACGGGGTATTGCAAGGACCTGCTGCGCAGTGGTAGAAAGGCTGAGAGTCCTTACTGCACCTCTGGGCTAATCCAGACTTGGGGTCATCAGCCAGGCCATAGATGGTTGTTAGTTCTGCTCCCCAGTTTGGGCTGCCAGGACTTGAGACATGACCCGAGCTCAGGTGTTCTCCATGGCTACGCAGCATCCCAGCGCCTGCAAAAGCAGCTCCGTGGACATTTATACCCACGTTTCCCCATGGCACCTTTGTGAGTAACACTGTGCAGAAAGCTATTTCAGGACCCAACATGACTCTCCCTGATGTCAGGTCCAATTACTGACATCCTACAAGGGAAAAAAGTCCCATAAAGCCAGCTCTGGTGGGACAATGACTTTAAGATGTCCCAGGTACTCATCTGGGTTCCCTGAGCAAACCAGGAGCTAAACATAACCCTGGGAAAGTGGCAGGAGGGGGTGGCTGCTGTCCTCTGCACCGAGGTCTCATGGGGAGGTCAGCTCCTGCTCTGGCCATCCCTTCTCTTTCGTTACCTGACCTTCCTCTGATCTGTCCCTGAGCGGGCAGCAGGCAGGATTCACCTGCCTGCAGTAGAACTAAAGCAGGGATCAGTCTGGGCTCATCTTAGCGGGCTTGACTCATGCTTTACCCCCATCCACTGGGGCCCATCAAATCTCATTGTAGTTTTCCATGGAAATACCCATTTGGGAAGCAGGGATCAGTCTGGGCTCATCTTAGCAGGCTTGACTCATGCTTTACCCCCATCCACCGGGGCCCATCAAATCTCATTGTAGTTTTTCAAGGAAATATCCATTTGGAGGGAAAAAAAGAAGAAATTAGTCAAAATAGTGAGAGACAGAGAATCTTAGACATTTAGT